CGTTCCCAATGTTACTTTCACTTACATAAAGATAACGAATCAGACTGGAATTGGAAAGCCAATTTCCAATCCAGTGCGTTTATCCATTACACCCCCCCCACACACACACACACACAAACAAATTTTGAACACCTGGTATTCTCAAGCGGTCACAAGCTCAACAAGCTAATGACCAAGCTCGACGTTGCTTAACTTCGGCGGTCGGACGAGAACCGGATTTTAAATATGATATGACCGTAAATCTTGTGCATCAGGAATATGTTAAAATATGGGGATTTGACGTAAGAAAATAAAAATGAATAAAAAATAGTTTTGCTGAGAAAATTAAAGTGCATTTTGGAAAGAAAATGCTGAATACTTTTTAATTAAAACTATAATTTATTTAGGTGTTAAGGAAAAAAATGTATTAAAACGTTTAATATATACATATATATTATTTTTATAGCTATTATCCGAGTTAGAAAAGGTGATATGTTACAAAATCTATAATATTTTTTCTTGCTAAAATAATATATTGTCTTGGTAACGATTTTTCCATAGGTTTTATATTGTTTTGATATTGATTGTTGGGATGGAAACGTCGACAAGAAAATAAAAATTTAAATCTACTATATCCTCATTTCTAACTAATTGCTATGGTAACGACATGTCTTCCTTACTTTTTTCAGTTCTTTTGATAATGCCCGTTGAGCGTGAAACGTCAACAAGGAAATAAGAATTTAAAGATCCATTTGCTTTTCACATATTCTATCTTACATACTCGTTCAAATATTTCATATCAATCAATTTATCACAAATAATTAAGTTAATAAGCGATTTATTTGTTTTTAAGCGTAAGCTAAGCAATATGTTTCTTCGGTAAAGCCAAACGTGTCTTACCTGTTGTAAAAAGAGAAATCTATCAGCAAGCTCTTTTTCCTTTAGCGCTGTTTAAGGTTGTGTAACCAAAGAAAAAAAACGGGATTTTATATTGGCCGTAATCCGATATTTATTAAAAGTTGGCACAGATACTGTAGGTGTCAGATGGTGAGGCTGATATCAACAATCGACCTCTAAGATAGATGGCTAAAAAGCGAAAACTAATATTGTTTTCAATTACTTTAGAGTTTAACTGGACCGTAAAACTGTAGTGACTCTAGATTACAGATCCTAAGAGATCTACCAGAGGAGGCGAGAAATACAGGCTCCAAGAGACAACGACACAAAAAAGTTATTTTTCTCGTCGTTTGAAAACAATGAGTTCCCTTCAGATATTACGAATAAATCAAATTGTTGCTTTCAGCATGCTGAATTAAAAAAACAAAAAAAAAACAAAAAAAAAAAAAAAAAACGCAGCCATTAAAAAAAAAATGAACAAACAATAAAAACAAGAGACCCTATTTACTGTTTTAACTTATTTTTATGTAGAGGGTGCGATTGGTAAATTGTCGCCATTTTATATTTTTTTATTTCGTACATGCGCGTTGTTTTTTTGTTTATTTTTTTTGTCGACAGCACAGTATATTAGTGTCAGTTAGGCACTATCTCTGAGAAAAACAGCACGATGGCGCAATTCACTACGTCAGGAATTTGGAAATGGCATGCTATAATTCTTGTCATTCGCACCGGAAGCTCTAATAGGAACATTTCAGAGTGTTTGAATGTCAACCTTTGGACAGTACAGAGGGTTTGGAAAGAGTTGGATGAGTCTAATGGTGATTACAATGGTATTTGGAGGGATAACTGTTGATGGCGACGTTATGCCTCCAATCCTCTTCCCACACGTCTTCAGACTCAACACGAAGGTCCACATCAAGTGATTTGAGAAGGTATTGCTGCTCTGCATGAAGAGGGTGGCTGCAACATAACTGCATCGTACCACACAAGCAAAAGAATCCAGTCATGGCTGCCAAACAATATCTGCGACCACATGACCCTTTACATCTGGCCACATAACTCCCCAGACTGAAAACCCCCTTGATTATTATGTATGGGGCGCAGATGAGCAAGAGACCAACAATACACCTTGTAATACCAAAGATGAACTGAAGGTAAGGATTATAGCAACATTCACCAACTTAAACAAGGAGACCGTCCGAAAGAGTTGCAGGAGATTCCGAAGTCGTCTGAAGGCCTTGGTTGTAACCAATGGTGATTTTATTGAATAAATTTACTCTTTAGTATTTCAAGATATTTTTGTCTAATTTTGTTAAATATATCTTTTAAAATCAGATTTCAGTGATTTTCATTTTTGAGTAATTTTACGTGGGGCGATTCCGAGCCCATAAGGCTCGGGCAAAATTTCCCAGTAGACACCGTATACACGGGGTCGGGGTTGTCTACCTGAAGTGTAGAGTCAGGTCTGGGTTCCTCTCTGCCCGAAGGCACAGAGTTTGACAACTAGCAAACTGCCTGGGTCGAAGCGGCTACTTATTTACCAAACTTCCCCACAAAGCAAGATGCAGCACAAGGCCAGATTTTACGTAGGGCAATTTCGAGCCCATAGTCTCTGGCAAAATTTCTCCGGGGGCCTTACATACTACCCCCACACAAGACGAGAGACTGCCCTTCGGCATAGCCTCATCTAGGTTCCTCTCTGCCCAAAGGCAGAAAGTTCTTCAAGCCTGTTGCGAGCCTGCCAACGAACTACTAGGGTCGAAGCGGCTACCAATCTTACCTCTAACCTCGAGTTTTTTTCCAAAGAAATTTTTTATTTTACTTTTTTTGTTTTTGTTTTGTTTTTGTGTCTTTTTTTCGTATTCGTTTTTCGTTTGCGATTTTTAGGTAACGTTATTAAAATTTGATTTCGTGTCTGAGATGAGATCTTTTATTTAATAATGTGTGTTGCTCTACGAAAGTATTTATAGCCATGTTCTCCTCCAGACAGAAACTTACTGTTTTGGAATTTAGTGTTGCAGGTTAATGCAGTTTTCTTTATTTTTGGTGTTAATTTGGTTTTAATTTCCCATATATGTTTAGAAAGCATTATGGTGTTCTCGTATTTAATATATACACACACACATATATATATATATATATATATATATATATATATATATATATACAGAGCACAGTAAGTCCTGGTGGTAATAATAAAACATATATATAATTCGTTAAAATAAAAATTATCTTTTCATGTATTAAAGGTTTTAGAAATTCTATGTTCAACTTCTATATTCAACTTGATCTTAAGAAATTTTAAGTTAATCTACAATATTCTCGTGAACATCTGATGTCATCTTTATTTTAACTGATTCTAAAACGTTATATGATCATTTTCATTACTCAACTTAATCTTAAAATATCCCTGTACCGTTCGAGAATGTACCAGGACTTTCCTCTCATGCTCTATCTTTACAAGAGCCGGATCAAATCAAAAAGGGTATATTGCTGCTACATCTGAGCTCGAATTGGCCAATCCTCATTTTACAGCCTCAACAAAATTCAAATGCGTTTTTACGCTGTCTCGTGAGTGATGAATTGTTTTCCACCCTACAACCTCTTTTCTCACAGACGAAACATTGTCAGCTTGTCATTACTTTGTTGCTACTTTCTTGACAGATGTTCCGACGAACTACAATCCTTGGTTCAACCAGTCCAGACCTTCACAGCTATTACCCGCAATATATAACGTACACAAGGTCAAATCATAGTCATCCCCTTTCATATACCATTAGTCAGGAAGAAGTTCTACTAAGATACTGCCAGTGGACCATTATTTTCTGAAACAGACTCCTAAGAGAATGCTTCCCTTATCACTACAATCTTAACCACTTCAAGTCTAGGATCAACTGTTATATATTCTACATATTCTTATAATCTGCACTTTCTTTGCTTTGTCTTACGTTCATACAATCTCATTCAGTAGCCCTCTATCTAAAGTGAGTCTTATGCCTTGTATTAGCTGGACATTTATTTTTAAAAATACATTGCTGGCGTTAGTATGGCTTAATTGGTGTTACCTGCCGCCCTTTATTTTAAGGATCAGTTTATTTAGATCTTTCAGTACTTGAGTTTTGTTAAATTTTGAAGGTTGACAACAATATAATTGCAGTTTTAAATCTGTATTACTATAAAAATCTGTGAACGTTGCTTGTGTGTTTGCCAAAAGTCATATACAAAGAGTGGGTGAAAGAAAGATATGAATTTATTATCGTGTAGGAAGCGGGAGGAGAGAAGGAAATGGAGAAGAAAACGCTCTCTCTTTCCCAACTACTTATCTCTCTTTCCACCCTTCCTGTGATTACGTGCGTGCTTATTTAGATTTTAGCTTTCTTTTTTTAAAAAAAACAATATTTTAAATATTTTTATTTTAACATTCTTCAGACATTATTTAAATGTTGAAAGCAACTTCAATAACTGCAAATAAATGCATTTTTATAATATCTCTACTTTCACAAACTCTTCATTAAACTACATGTAAACAATAACACAACAAGGTTGACCCGAAGGGTCACGGGTAGTAAGTATTATGTAAAAGTTCAGTATTCATTTCTTTCTTTTTATGGACAGTTTCTTAACCTTTAAAATTTTGATTAGTTTCTGAAATGCAACTTTCGTACTTCGGAGTCACATTTTCCGGCGATTGTCATAACACAATCCAGAAAATTACATTTCTGCCCTGCAATATTTTGACGCCCCCAGTAGATAACAGTTACTTTTTTTAAAATGTTTTTTTTTTATTGGTTATTTACGGTTTATCAATTTTTAGCAGGTTATTTAAAGCCAGAAAATATTTTTGGGAGATAATGGTTGATTGATTCGTTTTCTACAGCTTACCAATCTTTGCAAGGTATTTAAAGCCAGAAAATATTTTTAGCTTGTAAGAATGTATTTAAATAATAATAGTTTAGTGATAACGTCTTACTAATTAACCCATAGTCGGGGAGTGGAGATGGACTCATACCTCTACTAAGGGTAGTTGTGCATAAGGGAATATAACGAACACAACTGGAATTGGAACTCGGATCTCCGATTAACAATTCGGAGCCATTATCACTTTTACCATCATCACATCCAAACTTACAGCACCTAGTATTCCCAAGCGGTCGCCCATCTAGGTACTGGCTGGGCTCGACGTTGCTTAACTTCAGTGATTGTTAAAGAACCGGTGTTTAAACCTGATGTGGCCGCAGGCTATACCACCCGCACATCCAAGCTTACAGCACCGAGTATTCCCAAGCGGTCATTCATCTGGAACTGGCCAGCCTCGACGTTGCTTTACTTCGGTGATTGTTCGGGAACCGGTGTTTAAACCTGATGTGGCCGTAGGCTATACCACCCGCACATCCAAGCTTACAGAATCTAGTATTCTCAAGCGGTCTCCCATCTAGGTACTAGCCAGCCTCGACGTTGCTTAACTTCGGTGATCGTACGAAAACCGGTGTTAAAAATGTTACATTGTGAGTTTATTATTGTTGTGCTTATTTTTTTTTTTCAACTGATTTTCTCGAGAATACAATTTTGTGATTGCCTGAAATACTTGGTTTCAAGCTCTGAAAAAAAAAAAAGTGATTGACCGAATAACGTGGGCGTTCAATGCAATAACTGGCTTTGTCAAATAAACATTTTCCCACCACCCCCAAAAATATATGTGACAGGAAACTTTATAAAATCCAGAGGAAAAGTTTCGCGATTCTTATCGTCTGTCTATAGCGTACTCATTTATATGGTGTACTGACCTTTTTATTAATGTTATATCAAAGTCAGTATTAATGTCGACTCAGTTTTCAGATAAGAACCAGAATGCTAGACAACGCTTATAAATGGAATGTAACAAAAATCAAACGTTTTGTAAAAACATTTAGAACTGTAATAATTACACGGATTTACTAATATTTTGTTTAATGCTGCACTTTGTACTTTTCAACATATGACCAGATAATTTGTTCTTTTTTTAACCATTTTCTCCCAAGCAAGACGATAATGATACTAAGATGCAAGGGGTTACTAAAAGTGAAAGAGTGAGAAGACTTTAGTGGAGAAAAAAAAAAACAATCAAGGAACGGGTTCAGGAAGACAGAAGATAGAGTTTGACGTTGAATTTTAATTTTTGAAACTGCAAGACAAAATGCATAGTTATTAGCAAAGGGGTGAAAAAAAATGCAAATTACAAATTGGAAATACCCAAATTAATCAAGCACAATAATTTAAATATCTGGGAAGTGTTCTAATAGAGAATGGAAAATGGGACACCGAAATCCGAAGACGCACTGAGATAGCCAAAGATGCATTCCAAAAAGTAAGCAGAATAAGTTCGTTAGAAACAAAGAAATGGGTACTGAACTGTTACATGGTATCTGTTCTACTGTAAAGTAGTAAATGCTGAATAATTTCCTCGAAGGTGAAGAATGTAGTTCTGCAACAGAAAATTGCTGGGGATACCATGAACCGAACATATGAGCAACGACGAGGTTTTAGAGAAAATGGAAACAAAAAGAAAACTTATACTGGAAGAGACGGTTTAAATATCTTAGGAAAGAGGGATTGGAAAATCTGATACTCACTGGACAGATGAACAAGGGAAAACAACGCATAATATACTTGACGAGACTGAGAAAATGTATGGTGGAACAGTGTTTAGAAATAAAGAAAAGACAAAATTTACAATGGACAGGAAGTTGTGGAGAGTCATGACCACTTACGTTCTTAGAGGATACGGCACATAAAGAGAAGTGACAGGAAAGGAAGAAACCGGAAGAGAGTTCCAAAAGCGAGAAATGCGTGAAAAAAATATTTTAATAGAACTTACGGTTACATTTAACTAACTCAAGAGTTAAACGATGAGACATAAATGCCACTCTAGTAGAGCGTTTAAATTCATGTAGTCGAGGTACTTCACTAGAACAATTGACATGAAAATATTATAAGTGAAACTCTTTTAAACGTACTGAAATGTACTCAATATATCTGTTGTGCAAGCAACATGATTTAACCCCTCACTACAGACAACTGCCTATATCTAGGATTAACCCCCTTCTTATCTCTCTCTTTGTCGCATTGTCTTTTTGTTGTCTCTACGACCCTCTCTTTCTTTCTGTTTTACTCTCTATGTTTCCTTCGCGGCCAAGCGTGTGTATATATATATATATATATATATATATATATAATAAGTTTTGTTGTGGGGAGGAACTGTTTTGCTGTTAGATTAACATTCTATAGCCAAAATAAATATTTAAACCATTATGTGCGATTATCTGATATCTTCAGGATTTAAGATAAAAAATTTACAAAAATACTTTAGCCATGCCGTCAAAAATTACGGTCTATTTAAGGTATCGCTACAAACATTCGAAAAAATAAAAAAAAAAAAAAAAAAACAGAAAACACATTTTAGATAATTTAGATACCATCTTTGAACTTAAATTTCGTTTCTATTTAAAAGATAACAGCCTAAAGTTAATCCGAATTAGAAGAAAAGTTAATCTCCGTATATAAACAAACATTTTCAATCATTTTTAATACATTGTCACTTTTTGGTCACATCGAACTGCCATCGTATACGAAAAATGTAAACCAAAAATTTAAATTCTCTTTAAAATCTAATATTTCTCCTAGAGATGTGTTTCGAAATCTATTAGTAAATTTAAGGAGTAATTAACTGAATTTTCTAAATGTAATTCTTACCTTTTACTTAAAATTAAAATAGTTTTTTATTTACGTATGGTAGCTTGTGAGGTCAAAGGACAAAATAAAACCAATTCCTGACATAAAAAGCGCGGGAAAAAGTAACAAGAAAACCTAAAGAAATACGGAAGACCAGCAGTGCAATAATCCAAAATTTATAATTCGCGTTTAAAAATAATTTTTTAACCTTATATAACCAATAATTTAAAAATACATTTTTTATTCTATGCACTTTTATTAAACTTAATATAATGAATAAATTTGAGGGCATTAAAACGCTTCCAAAACAAAATATAGCGTGTAAGTACATCCATGAAAAGCTAAGTATAAAAATGCATTTTAAACATGAAAAATCTTTCTTGAAGCTTCTATTTTAGTTCATTTCCAAACTAATAGATAAATTTAATATTTCCAATAAACAAAATATTTTGCTGTATTTTAAACCGAAATTAAATTTATTGGAATGATATTTTTTACATCCATTTTACATCATTAAACCGGCCATATTGACAAGTCTGTCAACACAATATAATTTCTTTATTTAAAAAAAATCTTGCAAAAATAAAATATACTTTTCTGAAACTTTGAGGAAGATTAACTGATTTAAAATTCAATTAATATGAATTAAAAACAAATATTACCTTTGATTTAAAATATAGCAGAAACGCACTTTTTTAACACGGGAGAGGAAGATTTAATGAGGTGCTGACAGGTTTATCGATAGCTTAAAAATGAATTCCTAGAAATTTCATAAAATTAAATAAGTGGGGTTTAACAGATATAAAAAGATAATATTTTTACCAAGACTTTCTATATATAAAGTTTCTAAAATATCTTCCATTATTTGTGAATAATTCCTGCAAGGTTCATCCAAATCCGACAATTATCTGGTTTTTGCAAGAATTTCCAAATCCATGTGTTTTTCACCGCAAAAAGACGTTCAGATTTCCCATACTGATTTATAGCCACCCGTTGACATTTTAAGCAAAATTTCTAAGGTTCTAAAATGTTCAAAATATATAATTTAATAAGATACTTTGGTCTTAACTCTTCATAATAACAAAGATAAAACTTTGTATGAAATTATAGGCATTTTTTCATGATGTATATTCATTTTTATCGAATCTTTGGAGGTATCTATGTAAATGTAGTTTGCGTTAGATTATCATACTCCCCAAAAATATTTCACCAAGCTAGATAAAGTCGAAAATGAAATACTGTTGCTATATTTAGGCGGTAGCTGCCCAGTCCTCACTTTCCAGTCTTGATAGAGTTTAAAAGTGTCTCGGGGTCCTTGTTGAAGAATTATTTTCCAGCCTACAACCTCTCTCTTACCGGTGGGATGTGGCGAGTCTTTCACTGCTCTATGGCTACTTCCATAGAAAGTTCTCACTCTAACCACATTCCTTGGTTCCGCCGGGCCTAACTTTCATGGCTAGGTCCACTATACCATTTACATTGTAACAAACAAAAGTCACCCATGAAATAAAAATAATTGTACAGAAAGTAAGGACGTACGTACATGAAATTTTCTTTAAATTAAGTGGCGCCAGAAGAATTATCGTTGAAGTTTAAATATTAAATGCAATACTTAAATGCAGTGATCAATTTTGAGTTCTTATTTAGTTTATTGTTGTTTATCGCATCTGCTAATCCCTACCTATTGTGATAAAGGCCTAGTCAAGAGCCCTCTGCAAGAACAAGGTTAAATTCCACCCGATAACTATAGTATAGCCATCTTCACAGCCCTGCATAAGAAGTCAGATGCAAATGAATGTGAGCTCCATCGGACAATCAGCTTAATGAAAACCTAACTAAGTGTTGTAGCATACTTATGGACGATAATGGCTATGTCCCCATTCACATAAATACAGTAGTAAATACTGTATGTTTGTCTGCAGTTGAAGATTCGGTTTTATACGGGGTCTACGGATGTTTTGGGTTTTTTTTTGGGGGGTTCCGAGCCTACGGACTTGAATACCCCAGATTAAATTCGGCCTTATGCAACATCTGACTGCGTGGGGCAGTTAGTAGATATCCTGCAATTGGAGATTCGTCTCCAACTGTGCTGGTCAAACACTGCCTCCGGGCAAAGAGGATCCTCAGACGACGCTATGTCGAAGGGCAGAGTCTTGTCTCGGGAAACAGCTACCCGACCCCGTTTTATACGGGGAATGTTTGGCCGAGCCTACGGGCTAGGATACCCCACATTAAATTCGTTCTTGGGGCGTTGGTAGATATCCTGCACTTGGACATTTATTATGGAATTCCCTTGACTCACTTCTAGCAGTTGACTACTTCTTCAGCGTACCGTTGGGGAATCTTATATGTGTTGTTCTTATCCTCAGTATTATTGTTCATTACCAACCTCTGTGTGATCATTCTATTCAATAACCTCCCCTAGGTTACAACACTAAGCTTATCATCCGGATTCTAATAAATATAGAATAGAGATGAATTATACCAGAAATAGTACAAAAACAGTGGAGTTTCGTTAAAATACACTGGAACAAGAAATATAATATTTATGATCAGAATGATATCAGAATGAGCGAGTAATAAAAATGCTGAAGGACGTATAATATGTTTCAATTTGGTAAGGTATGACGCGGGTACCGCTTGGAAAACATTTATTCGGGAAAGATATTAGAATAATCCAGAAATATGCGGATGGAAAATTGAGTAAGTACACAAAAGTAAAAAAGGGTGTAAGACAAGGATATGTCTTCTCACAGGATTTATTCAACATTTATAGCGAGACCAT